TGTCCTAAGTAGAAGTGGAACCAAGATTAGATTTCAGAGGACTAACTCTCAGTTTCAGTGTTGATATTAATTTGTTTGTTTACAATGAGTAAAGTCTCTAAAAATGATAACGAGATACAGGGCATGTATACATCATTTCTCAATTTTTGTCATAACAAGTGTCATTAATCAGAGCCGGTCCTTTCTGGTGCAACCTATTTGCCATTCTAGATTTAATACATTGAAATAAGTAGCAAAGTGAGATGAATTTAAAAGCTAATACACAAGACAAAAAAAAAAAAAAACAAAACCAAACAAACATGACCCATTAAACCAAAAAGAATGAGAAAAGATGGTTAATAACAAAATAAGCATTTAACACAAAAAAAAGCTAACATGCGGACTAAACATGAGGGAACATGAAAAGTCTGAATTTTATTAAAATAGTATTTCTATTAAAAAACTAACGTTCTTCTAATGTAGTGAGTATATAAAACCAAACAAAGAAAAAGAAACATGAAAACTTATGTATGCTTTCTAGAAAAATACAATAGACACTGCTTGAAGATGTTTAGCAAACAAAATAGGATAATAAAAGAAAACTGGTAAACATAAGAAAAGAGATGAAATAATCAGTACCAAGTTGAGTGTGCAATAGAAAGAGTGTCATTGCTAGCAAGTGATTAAAAACTAATACAACATAAAATCTAGCAACTACAAATGGCCAATACTTTTCATATCATAGGTCTCTGTAGTCAGTTCGTCATTATTGTACTCTACAAACATTAATGTTTCACTAAGCCCTGTAGTTATGTACTTTATAATGTTATGGTGCAATGTGGATGAATGTTGACCCTTGGAACTGAGTGTAGTATATAGCCTGTTCAATTCTCTGTTATGATGTTCCTCACACTTCTCTACTTAATTATCTAAGTCTTAGAATAGTCTTTTCAGTAACTCTCAGTAGATGACTACCTTCTACTATAGAGAAAACAGAAAGAAAAAAAAAAGGAAAACTTTTCTAGCAAGTCTACAAATATTCCAGAATATTCTTTCCTATTATTCTTTCTTATTATTTTAATGCATACAATTATATCCTCACTTCTTCTCTAGGGTAAATATTTCACCATCAATTATAGTATTTTTCCTCTCTGTTTCTTCAAGCATTTTTATTCGTTCTATGACAATTTAAGTATGTCTAATGTTCACATGTCTAATGTGTGTTGTGAATCTCGGTTCAAGCTGGACTTTAGGATGGACTCTTGTGTCTTGAGGAGGGACACATATGGAATGTTCAGGCTCTTATGACATTCTTTTCGTCCCAAGGGAGTGTCAGCAAAGGGGACTTGACAGATGAATTGGGGGTCTCTGGCCCAGAGTCTTCCTACATTTGGGTGTGTCAGAAAGTGATGCTCCAAGCCAAAGGTGGATGACTTTAATCTGCAGCTCTCAGGCCTGTTTTTAATTGTTTCTGGGCAAACATTCTTCTAGGCAGTATAGGCCTAGTCTGTCCACTTGTTGTACAGAGGTAACTCGTGGTCACCATGAAGCTGAACCCGTGACACTGACATCAAATGTGATAATGGTTAACCATAGTGGACAGTGTTTGGTGGAGCTCCCCAATTAAAACAAGCTTGGAAGCAGGAGTGGCATCCACTTACAAAATAGCTTGCCTTCAGAAATTCTATGAACCTGCAAGAGGATGAAAGTTATACAAGTGTTCAGGACTTTTGTTCATAGGGTTGCTATGAGTCACCTATGACACAACGGCACTTAAGAACAACGACAATGTTCTCATATTAAAATGACCCTCTTTCAATTGCTGTTCTCCCCTCATGTTTGGCCCCAGTCTTACTTACTTCATGATAAACTTTTAGAGAATTGTAATTTCCCACAAACAGTAATCACTTTCCAATCTGCTCCAGGTAAGGTCTGCAAGAAAAATCATTTTACTAAACACACAAGGAGTTTCCTTGTGCTTTATTGATTATCAAAAGTATTTGCCCAAGTGAATAATAATAAACTATCCATAACATTGTGAAGAATGAGAACTCTAGAATATTTAATTGTACTTATGTAGAACTTGTATATAAACCAAGAAGCAGTCATTCAAACAAATTAAGAGGCTACTGCACATTTTAAAACCAGGAAATGACTATGTTAGGACTTTATCCTTTGCCCAAACATGTTCAATCTGTATGCTTTGCAAATAATCTGAGAAGCTGACCTATGTGAATAAAAATGTAACATCAGGACTGAAGGGAGACTCATCTACAACCTGTGATATGCAGATGGAACAACCTTGCTTGCAGAAAATGAAGATTTGAAGCACTTACTGATCAAGCTCAAAGACTGTATATCTTTCAGCATGGATTACTCCTTAATACAGAGAAAACAAATACCTTTACAACTAGACCACGAAACAATATAATGATAAATTGAAGGGCGGGAAGAATATTGAAGTTATCAATGATTTTATTTTACTTGACCCACAATCAACACTCACGGTTACAGTAGCTGTGGAGTCAAATGAAGAATTGCTTTGGGTTAAATTGCTGCCAGGTACTTGTTTAAATTACTAAATAAAAAGGATGTATGCAAAACAATAAAAAAGGAAAAACAAATGAGGGCCAGGCTGTTCTTTTAGGACCAAGGTGCATGTAACTCTAGCTACTCTATTTTCATTGGCCTTATGTGTATGGTATAGGGAGCTCTGGTAGCTTAATGGTAATGAGTTGTGCTGTCAACCCAAAGGTATGCAGTTCAAACCTACTAGCTGTTCCAAAGGAGAAAGAAAGGTGATCTCGTCCCATGATTCATTGCCTCTGAAAACTGACTTTGAGGGTCAACTCTGGATTGGTTCCAATTTAATAATTCTTAACAATGTAACAAGACTTATGAGACAGCTGGATGATGAATTGATGTCTTTGAATTGTGGTGTTGACAAAATTGAACATAGTGTGGGCTGCCAAAATAACAAATAAATCTGTCTTTGAAGCCATTTATCCGGAGTGCTCCTTAGAAGTAAAAATGTTGAGACTTTGTTTCTTATGTGTTGAACATGTGATTAGGAAGGGCCAGACCTTGGAAAAAGACATTGTGTTTGGTAAGCAAAACATTAGCAAAAAAGGGAGCTAACGCTCAAGCAGATGGCTTGATACTGCGGCTGTAGAACAAAGGGTTTAAGAACAACAGCCATGGTGAAGAAGGGGCTACTCTTTATTCTGCTGTACGCACAGTCTGCATGAGTGTGAACCAACTCAGAGGAACCTAGCAAAAGAATCTCTGCTGTAATACTTTATAACAATCCTCCAAACAAGTTTTTGCGACCATGGTCCTTCAAAATTAAGCTTATGTATGAATATATTGTATATATTCCTTTAACTTAATTAGGCAAAGCTTCAAAAGTTACTGAAAATAACACTAAGGTCCAAATGTCAGAGGAAAATATAATTTTAAAAGAATAAAGCTAAAAAAAAAAAAACCTAAAAAAAAGAATAAAGCTGAAAGAGGAGATAAAGTGATTTAAATTATTTATCTTCCAAGAAAGATATACTAATCTCAAGATAAAAGATAAAAGTTATAATTGTTCCAGTTGATCGATATCTAAACATCATAAGGAGTTTGTTCTGTAACTGAGAAGAAAGCTTAAGGGACAGGAAGACAAAATGACTCAATGGGGCAAATCAGTGGCAACTCATTAACTTAGGAATCAGATAAGATAGGGTGAATAGGCAAGAGGTACTGTAGAGAAATTATAAACATGTATAGTACTACAAAAAATATATGTATTTTTATGTATAGTATACATGTTATATAAATATATCTGTGTGAGATATAGAAAGCAAGCGAGATGGATAGATAGATATATAACATATACCCCAACTCCTCAGTAAAAGGATAAGGCTATCTATATTTATCTTTTTAAATGTAAATGAAAACTGAAGTGAATATAGCACAATAAAACATCCTACACAAAAATGTAAATATTAAGTTTGAAGAAGAAATGCTTTTTTCATGCTGCTTCTACTTCATAGTTCTCTAACTAATCCCAGATTTATCCTAAGAGATCCAGAGAAAAGAAAGTAAAGTAAATCTAGTCGGTTGACCTTCAGAACAATATCTTCACTTCAGGAACTTACTCCCTCAAAGCACAGGCTTTTTTATTTCAAACTATTCTAAATATTAAATGTTCTACTTGAGAAATTCACAGAAAAGCAAAGCTTTCAAAGATATCTATCAGAAAAATAATAAGCAATGTTTGAGTGTCAAAGGAACTGTGAAAAAGATTACTCCATGAATGCTAAACAAATCTACATTATAGTCTTCTCTGAGCTTCATGTAAGAAACTCCTAGAGTTTACGTGGTGATACCCTCCAGAAAGCCTAAACTGACCAACTGAAATAAGAAACCAAAAACTTACAGATAGCTAATGACCTGGGGTAATGCTGAATCTCAGGGGTGGCTTAAATATACAAAACACAAACTTAGTTTAGAAAATAGCTTCATTTTCCTTCTCACTCATATATCTCTATAACTGAGATGACAACAAAGATAAAGGAGTTTATATAAGCTTCACATTCTACTAGTTTCTCTCAGAATTCTGTATAGAGTATTGTTGGGGAAAGTTTTCAAATTAATTAAACTTTGTCTCAGCTCATGCAAAGCCAAAAGTAGCAAAAAGGAAGTTAATTTACTCAAAGGAAGCTCAAGGAATGTATATAACCTCTCTGGACTTCCTCTCTCCATCAATCAAATGAAAATGCTGACCACTCTTGCCGGTGCCTTAAAATGTAGCTTCACAAGTCAAAAGGGGGGGAAAGGAAGAAATAAACCTTAAGAAGGATATAAATACCAATTCCAAGAGGTAGCACTGTTTTTCTATAGAATGCATCCAACATTAAACAACATTTTTAAAGTGAGGACAGAAAATTTGCTCTTATCACGCCAAAGTGATCATGCACAATTTTTTTTTTTTAATCAAAACTGCTTCACAGGTCTCCCTCTTTCTCTTCAATGAGGCGGCCGAGCGGCAGACGCAAAGATTCAGATCTTTGTGAAGACCCTGACTGGCAAGACCACCACTCTTGAGGTCGAGCCCAGTGACACCATCGAGAATGTGAAAGCCAAAATCCAAGACAAGGAGGGCATCCCTTCTGAACAGCAGTGTCTGATATTTGCGGGCAAACAACTAGAGGATGGCTGTACACTCTCAGACTACAACATCCTGAAAGAGTCCACCCTGCATCTGGTGCTGCGTCTGCTTGGCGGCATTATCGAGCCTTCCTTGCTCCAGCTCACCCAGAAGTGTAACTGCGACAAGATGATCTGCCGCGAGTGTTGTCCTCACCTGCATCACCGTGCTGTCAACTGCCGCAGCTGCACACCAACAACCTCCCTCTTCACTGGCTCCCTTGTCTCTTGCAGGTGGCCTTCTTCCCAGCCCCAAGACCCTGGGCCCTCAATAAAGTCTCTTTCACTGAACTGAAAGGAAAAAAAAAAAAAAACCTGCTTCACAGAAGCATTTAGGTATACTCACATTCGTATTATGCGAATAGTTCCAGATCTCATGCCATTATCATACTTAATTAATAATCAATATTTCCTGTGACTAATATGGTAAATATATTCAGATTCTGAATAATTAATATTCCTTAAAAGGAATGAATCACAGTGATGCATTACCCAAGGTCAAACGTCTGTTCATTATTGTTGTGTGTCATTTAGTCAGAACGGACTCATAGCTGACCCTCAAAGAGGGTTTACAGAGACAGTTATCAGCATAGGAGGAGATTACCCATTTTTCTCCTGCAAAGTAACTGGTGGATTCGAACCACTTTGGGACTGCAGCGCAGCTTCCAAGCCACTAGGTCCCCAAAGCTCCCTTGTTATTGTTTTACTTGTTAGTTGTCAATTTCATTCAACTATATTCCAAATATACGTTAAAATAGTTTATAAATGAAGGAACTAGTTTATTTTCAACTGCTCAGTCTCTGAATTTTTTCTACATTTAGAAAACTCTTTAACACCTGGTTCTTTTTTTTCTCTTGCTTGATTGCACTTTATTTTTTATTGATATTTTAATGAAACATCTGATTCTTAATGGAACAGAGGCTAACCCCAACTAAGAAACTTAACAATCCTAAAATGTATTTCCCCAGACTCTCATGCAACTAAGGCATGGCTAGCTAAACTCTCTCATTACAGGAAGTAGAACTTAGATATCCAATACTAATTTGAATGGAATTCTTTCAGTTGAATGTCATCAACATACAGTCCCAAGAGCATTTGTGGTTTCAAGGGTAAGCATTAGAGTTATAAACAATGATAAGTGTTCAATGGCAATATTAGTGGTCTCTTCCTTATTTAGTTTTGTCATGATATTAATTCCAACTCTGGTTATGTTGTTAGGGTTTTTCTCCAAGTTAGTCCTGAAATCTGTCTTTATATTTTTCACAAACCAATATAATTTCAATAAATTAGTATATCAACCAAGGTTTACTCATATTTTTGACACATGGACAGAAAAATAAATGTATAAATAACTATATTTTTAGCAAAGTAAGGTTGGGAAGGTGGAGGGACAGCACGAGAAAGACCCTCGATGAGATGGATTGACTCAGTGACTGGGGTAATGGTGTTAGGTGTGTCAGAGACAATAAGGTTGGCTCAGGATAGAGCAGGGTTCAGAGTTGTTATACATAGGGACACTATGAGTCACAGGTGACTTGACAGCACATAACAACAAGGTAATAACACTATTTAGGAGCAAATTAGGGTGAGACAGAAGAAGTAATTTTTAAAGTGCTTAATGACAAAAATAGCAGTTAAGCTACATCTCATTAACTAATTCAGAGAATAACATGGAGAAATAATCATCATCTTTATTTCTTGTTGAAAATGTATCAGATACTATGTCAAGTACTAGACTAAAAGCTCATCAAATCCTCAAAACAAGCTATAAATCTAGATATTCTATTGTGACTGTAAATCAGAAACTTGAGACTTATGGAAGTCAGATAATTGTGTTACGTCACATAGTTAAGTATGGTGCATAGATGTCAACTAGGTTCTGCCTGATTTGAAAATCCAGCTCTAGACCTTCATAACTTTATTATTATAGTGTACTTATAGTTAAATATAGATGTACAGAAATGATGTTAGTTATAGAACAGAGTTCAAGTCCTTTATGCAAAGCTTACTCTCAGTCGTATTTGACTTGACAACACTTAACCACTGCTAAATGAAACTAGTGCTGCTATATCTGGAGGAACACTCTTCCACTTTGTACATCACTTTTTGTCACTGTGCAGTATGAAGGAATCTGGGTTTACTGAACCTTGTGCCATTGGGGTATCAAATACCATAATGGTTTCCCAAAGCAGACAGTGTTTGATGGAGCTCCCAGGTGTAAAACATGTTTGGAATCAGGAGTGGCATCCACTTCCTAAAGCACATCCCTCTGGAAACTCTATGAATTTGGAGAAATGATGATAGTTATGGAAAGGCATTAGGTCTATTGTTCCTAAACTTGCTATGACTGGATGATAATCAACAACAACAACTTAGTTAGATTAGTCACTACAACTCTGTGTGAAGATGATAAAAGCTTTCTCAGTTACTCTGGCTCTTGACCACTGTATGTAAAGCAGAAAAAAGAATTGCCCGTTTTGTATAACCCTCACACTTGCCTGCATCCAAGCTTTTAGTTGGGAAAATAAGTTTCTTAATGAATAAATGATGTTAGTCTTAATAGTTTAGCTTATTCATAGAAACTACATCCTCACTACCCTCCCCTAGTTTTCAGTATCATAGCAACACACAAGTCACCATGGTATGACAGCCAGATTGGTGGTGAGCAATTAAGGATATCATCTTTATCAACAGTGATAATAAACATAAAGTCAATGGCAAATTCAATGCAAAAATTTTGCTTGAAGGTCTATAATTAAAACTACATCCTTGCCAAAAAGAAAGAAAGAAAAAAAAGTTTTCTAATTCTCTAAAGAGTGAGTTTTGATGTGCTTATCAGTAACTCTTCATAGAATATAATACCATATGTTAAAAAGCAGTAAGCTGTAAGTTGTCATCACGTAGATTTATGATGCAATAAAAAGACCAAAGAGTAAATCATTTCTTTTCTTCAGCTTAGTGCATATTTGTTTTATGAAAATGCATAAATTCTCAATGAAAAGTTAGAAAATTTAAGTGTGGCCCATTTTTCTTCTGTCTGTATGACATTTCTTCCATCTTTAAGTATCTCCATGCTCTGTTTTAATAAAGTTACATACTTAGAGTTGTTTCGTCTGTGTTCTCTGTCAGCACATAACCTGATTTCAGGAAATAGTGAGAAATGACGTCTATAATCCAGAGTTCAGACTAGATTTTTTTCCTTGGCTCTCTAACAGCCTTCATCCACCCTTTTGAACTCTTTTACATTTTATAAAGCAGTTAACTAAATTTGGTAGAGTTTTCTTGTTAATAGTATCAGTACTTTTTTGTTACTAGTGAATTAACAGAAAACAGAGCTGTGTCACCCAAGAAAAAAACACAATGGTTGCTGTGTGAGAAAGGTCCCTCATAAGAGTGTACAAGAACAAATACTCAAGGAATTCAGTCCAATTAATCTTTATGAGTGTGATAATTTAAACCTCATTATTTTGAAGAGAAGCAGCAGGAAATACAGTCCGTCATGTCCCTCCTGTGGCCTTAACAATGACTGGGGTAAAGGGTCAGCTCCCCTGGAAGACCAGTGTGGAAAGGGTTCAAAGCCAGTTGACTGCTGGTGGCAAGCGGACAATTACTGATCCTATAAACGATAGTTGGCATTGCTAGTACATTTCAATGTGATGATCAGTCATAGCAGCAAGAAAAAAAAACCCAAACCACCCTGATGTATTTGTATGTAAAAGAGAATGTATTAGCATAGATTACCTAACCTCTAACTTTTAAAATTATTTCTTTTTCTTAATGAATATTAGCTACACTTTGTTAAAAATACTCATTTTCTTTATTCTTGTGCTTGTAAGAGTTAAATCAACATTTGTATGTGGAAATTGGATTACCTTAATGTTGAAAATAACCACATCTTAATGCTTGAAAATATGCACATGATTTGTATAACATCTCTTTTTTGCTGTACAATAATCACATTTTATTTTTAAATTCAACAATTAATTTTTCCCTCTTCCCCTTTTTCTGTCCCTCCCCTTCCCCTCTTATTGTTGGTTTGTTGTTTTGTTTTAATATACCAAGTTCTCTATTGGTATCATTTCTTGACTTTAAAATACTCCTCAATGGCATCCTTTGCCTGGAATTCTTTGCCTTAATCCTTAACAACTACACAACTGCAGCCATCCACTTTGTGGGGCTTTCCTTCTTTGTCAGCTTTGCAGAGGACTGCCCGTTTCCCTAGTTCTTGCTGCCATCAACCCTTATCAGGTTGTTTGGTACAAAGGGCCTCTACTAACTTGACGTACAGAGGCTCATCACACACAGAATGCTTGGCACTTGTTCAAGATTCTGGCAGTTTCGACGATTCTGCATGCTAGGCTATCATGGATGAGGGCAGTTTTGAAGGCCTTTAGCACCTTTTGTAAAGCAATATTAACATCCATTTCACCTCCAACAGCAATGTTTTCTTTGGCCATAGAGGTGGGTTATGGGTCGAGTGGAATCTGCAGTGACTGGGGAAAAGTCACCATTCCCTTTTGAACATTTGTACATATCTTGTTCAATTATCCTTCTATTATCACAATAGTGGCCTTATGCAATATTTGTCCTTATGTGAATGAATTCTTTCACTCAGCATAAGGCTCTCTAGTCTTTCCCAAGTTATATAGTATTTTGCAAAGTTATTGTTCCTTAGTGCTACATAGTATTCCACTGTAGCACAGTTTCCCCAATCCATTCTTTTGCTAATGGGCGTTTGGGTTGTTTCCACTTTCTTGCTATTGTCAACAGCACTGCTATGAACGTGGGTATACTTATCTCCATTTCTGTGTTCGTTCTGATTTCCTTAGGATATATTCCTGCCCATAAAATAGTGGAGTCTTATGGGACTTCCGTGTTCCACATTTTAAGGAAACACGTCCAAACTCCCTTCCCTAGAAGTAGTATCATTTTACAATCCCACCAGCAGGAGCCACTTCCAGCACCATACACAAAAAAACCAACTCAAAGTGGACAAAAGACCATGAGGCAAACTTAAATCTTTAAAGATCATAAGAGACAAATGGGAACAAAATTTTTTTTTATTTATGTCTATGGCATAAATAGGCTTATAAATACAGCCAAAAATGTTCAAGCTGGAGAAGACAAAATTGACAAATGAGACCTTCTTGACATCACATCCCTGTATACATCAAAAACTTTCTACAGTATGGTAAAAGAAAGCCCACAGATTTGGAGAAAACAGTTAGCAACGACATTTCAGATAAGGGTCTCCTAACTAAAGTCTACAGAATACTACAGCACCTTCCACCAAAA